CCAGAAGTGACTAGACAGAAGCAGAATGTCCGAATGTCATGAAGAGGATTCATGCAGAGCCTTAACTTAGCTCCAGAGTCTGAGGATCTGGGTTTAAATCCACCTCAGATGCTACTTGGAATGCCTTGCCCCCTCACCCTGCCTCCTGGCTTCCTTCAAGACTCAGCTCAAAACCCACCTTTTCCCAGAGGCCTGTCCCAGTGCCTCCCCCCCTCCCCGCCCCGACCCCCAGCTGCTATGGCTTCCCCTCTGAGGCCACCTCCCATCTACTCCAGAAATGTCTTATACACGTTGCACACATATGACCTATATCAGATTGCTTACCATCTAAGGAAGGAGGAAAGGGAGGGAGGGACGGAGAGATTCCGGAATTTAAAAGTTTAAAAAAAACCAATGTTAAAATTATTTTTACATGTAATGGGGGGGAATAAAATATAGTAAAATAAATAAAACAAAAAATAAACATTTATGAAGCAAAAAAAAATTCGTATTTTTGTTCATTTAAGAAAAAATGTCTTGTCCATACTAAGCCATTCTCATGCTCATCTCCCCAGTTAGTTTGGAAGCTCCTTGAGGGCAGGGACTGTTTTTTGCTTTTCTTTGCATCCCCACTTCATTTTTAAGTGACCCCAGGCTATTATCTAAGACTCAAAGTCACAGACCAATCTTCTATCTGCTTTGAGATCATAGACCACTGCTGGACGGAGCCTGGAAGACCATCTCATCTCACCCCTCATACATCGGTGGAGGGAGTTTCCATAACAATAAAACCATAAGTCTGTATTTTTAAAAAAGTAGCCATTTTCAGTCAAGTTCCTTTCTAGAATGATGTCTTGTGAGCTGGCCAGGATCTCTGAAGCCACCTTCATCCAAGACCCTTATTTTATAGACGAGAAAACTAAGATTCAAAGGAGTTGAGTGACTTGCCCAAGGTCACACAGCTACTAAGTAGCAAAGCCGAGATTTGAACCCAGGGCTTCCAATTCTAAAGGCAGCATTTTTCCCATCAACGGGCAGAGGAGTGAGGACTTCAATCTTGGCAATCTGACTCCGAGCTGGAGGATTTTCCAATGTAGAATTCTACCCTGGAGGAGTAGGAGCCGAGTACTCCCCCAGCAACTGGCAGCACAGAGTGGGACACAGCTGGGCATGAGCAGAGCTGCCCTGGCTTCGTAATACGAGGTAGGTCCCACCCCTGGGCTTGGCTCCACAGCGCCCCCTGCCTGTCTGCCCGATCGGAAGCAGAGCTCCAAGGAGCACATTAAATTTCTACTCTGGGTTTTTTCACTGGGGAGATGAGCAAATACTGATTGTTATAATGGCGGCTTTCTTCCACCAGGATCTGGCAACGAGGCAGTATTGAACACTTGGGCACAACAGTCCTTAATAACTACACCCAACCCAGCCCCTGCAGAAGAGACTGTAAAAATCATTTCATGAAAACAGTTTTATTAAGTGCACTAACTGGGACCAGCCTGCAAAGATCAGTCCTTTTTCTGGTGAGTATTAAATGATAGAATGCCCCTGTCACTGACCTTAGTTTAAAATGGGATGATGTCTGGAAGAGGAACTTTAAGATTTACTTGAAGTTATTTCTTATTTAAAATTATTTTAAAATTAAAATTTTGTTAAAATTTCAAAGAGAAACCCATGCGTAACAATGCTGTCACCAGCTCCCTGCCCTAGTCCTAGATCCTGAGTTCAGTCTCCCACCACCAGGTACCTTTTGGACTGGCATCTCAAACTCAACTTGACCAAAAATTATCCTCTTCCCCAAACCCACCCCGGGCAGCTAGGTGGTGCAATACTAGAGTGCCAGATTCAGAGTCAGGAAGACCTGAGTTCAAATCTGGCACTAGCCGTGTGACCCAGGACAAGTCACATAACTCTGTTGGCCTCAGTTTCCTCATCTGTAAAATGAGCTGGAGAAGGAAATGGCAAACCACTCCAGTATCTTGCCAGGAAAACCCCAAATAGGGTCACAAAGAATTAGACACAAATAAAAAATGACCGAACAACAATAACAAACCCACCCATCTTCTGAAAATCCCTCATTCTGTTGAGGGCACCACCATCCTCTCAGTCACCTGGGCTCTCAAGTTCAGCAACACCCTTGACTCCTCACTCACACTCACCCCATTTACATCATCTGTTGTCAAAACTGTCGCCATTTTCCCCCTTAGAATCTCTCTCCTATGTCTCCTCTTCACACTGGGGCCATCTCCAGTCCTCCTGATCTATATCTGGCTGCTGGACCTGATGGCTCCAGAGGAGAGAGTGAGGCTGGTGACCTTGCACAGCCCACCCTCACTTAAATCCAATTCTCTTTCAAGTCATGGCATTACCTCCCTGATGTCATGGCCCTCTTTGGTGTTTTTTTTTGTTGTTGTTGTTGCTTTTTGTTGAGGCATTTGGGGTTAAGTGACTTGCCCAGGGTCACACAGCTAGTAAGTGTCCTGTGTCTGAGGTCAGATTTGAGCTCGGGTCCTCCTGACTCCAAGGCCCGAGCTCTGTCCACTGCGCCACCAAGCTGCCCCCATGGCTCTCTTTGAATAAAGGACTAACAACAACCTCTTCACTTATACAACCACCCCCTCAGCTCACACCTTCATCACGCTTTCCAGAACCATCACAGAAAGCTCCTACTAAGTCTCTGCATCAAGTCTCTTCTCACGACCATCCATGCTCCTCCTTAGCTGCCATGATGAGTTCCCCTCTGTCGTACTCTATCAATATCCTATATCACCCAGAGAGGTAAAAATGGATTTCTAAATACCCTTGCCAGTCACTAGTCCTCTGCCAAGCCAGTGCCACAAAGTGCCTACTGGTGGTAGGGGACTCATGGAATAGAGGGGGTTCCCCACCTAGGCCCATGAGGGAATCCTCAACGTCCCAGTTGAGCGTGATGGGGCCCTAGGCCCAGGCACTGGAAGGAGGGATGGCTCTACTATGAGAGGTTCCCATTTCCCTTATTGCAAGTAGAGTCCAAGGGGGGGAAAGTGAAAACTTGATCTTAGTTGTACCCTGACAAATCAATTTTCAGCGTCCACTATCTGCCAAAATTTTGTGTAGACATTTGGCTTTGCAACAGTCATCTTCAGTAATTCCAAATCCCTTGCCAGGCTCCCTAACTCATCAGAGGCAGCATAGCAGAGCCTGGACAAGTCACTTGTTCCGAGTTCTAGTTTCTTTGTCTATAAAACAGGGAGGGTGTTAATAGCACCTACCTCCCAAGGCTGTTGTAAGGATCCGCTGAGATAATATACAGAGAGTGTTCTGCAAACCCTATAGCCCTTCATGTTAGAAGCTGTTATTGATGTCGTCATTATAATGACATCTATAACTCCTCCCCCCTCACCTCCCCATCTCAGGTGGAAAGCCATTTGCTACTCTCAAAGGGGTATAGAAATAGCAGCTGGGGGTGGCATTGACATTGTTGCTACTATTGCAATCTGTACAATGAGAATGATAATAATAATAACAATAATAACAGCTTCATCCCTGACCTCATGGGTTTTCTATGAGGATCCATTAACGATAAACGATATTGATAATGGCACTTTTGAATTTATTATCTCATCTGAGCCTCATGAGCCCTGTGAGGTAGGTAAAGATAGGGACTGGATCTGGGATTTCCTGCTTATAAGGAAGTCCCAGGTACGGAAACTCCCTCCACTAATGCAGGTTGGAACCTTCTCTATGACTTAGAGCCTCAAAGAGTAGCCTCAAACACTGAGCTCAATTACATGGCCAGATCACACAGCCAGTATGTGTCAGGGACAGGACTTGAACTCTGCTTTTGAGGTGGGCTCTCTACTCACCGTGGCCTCTCCTGAGCTAGGTACCATAGGTATTACTGTCCCCAGTTCTAGTTCTCTCCCTCCCCCTCCCTTCTAGACTCCCTGAAGTGGAGCCCTCCTCAATATGCCATCTCCCCCA